GGTCCGTTAAGCCTGTGGCTCGGCAGAAATAGGAATCGCTGCGTCGTAGTTCGGAAGCCTCGTCTGGTGACGGCTCGGTGCCCCTTACCTTGATTTTGCGCAGAGTGACGATGGCAAGGATGGTCAAGACAATCGACGCTTTAGCGTGGCCAATGTCACGGTGTAACGGCACATTGTCTAGCGCGTTTGTTAATAGGGCATTAAACCATTCAACCACGTAGCCCTGGTGCAGACAGCGGTAGGTCACCACGCAAACGTCAAAATAGAAGCGCATCATTTCCAGGCCGACTGATCGTTCGGGAAGAGGATGACTCTCGTGGGTTGCTGATGCAAAGGGCTTGTCGCCTGCCCTTGTCATGGTCTGGTGCTGTTCGTTTGTACTAGAAACATGGGGAACGACGCCACCAGCTAGTCTCTGAGATGACAAACGTTTCCATGCGCGGTGGAGGAAGGTTAAGCTTGACGTGGTGTCGAAGTACTGCCCCTCGATCTCGGCGATCTCGACCTCTGGCGACGCCCTCGACACTGGCTGGAGGACGCTCTCCTCGACGGCTGGCGAAGATTCAAGGGTAATGGGCTGCTGCGAAGGCCTTGCTCGAGGCGTACCGGTAGCGACAGGACTGCGGTGTGTGAGCTTTGTTTGCGCAGTGCGTGTGCGCATAAGCAAGAAGAGCACTTACAATTGCGCCTGGTAGGATGCTGGCACTAACCTGGCGTCAGTTGTCGGGGTCGCAACTTCAACCCCAGCTGACGGAGCCGGCGGCGGGGTCGGGGGTCTCCCGCGACGGTAGCTCGCATCATAGATGCAGGCGAGACGCTTCTTGGTACAGACGTCGCAGGGGATGGTGCCGGAACACTTCAGCTTTTTGGCCTTGCAGTAGTCGCATGCGCGGCTGACTTTGTGGCTCCGTCGGCGGTTTGCGGCGGAAGCAACGGCGGAAGAGGGTAGAACTGGAGACACGGACGGACCCGACTCCGATTCTTCGCGGAGGTAATGACCGGAGGAGGGTCTTTCGGGTAGTGGGCGCGACCTCCGGGAGGATTCCGACGGCTCGGGGGAGGGGCCCGTACTTGGACGACCTTCAGGCAGGGTGCGCTTCTTGCGGGATGATTCCGGGGGTTCAGACAGGGTCGGGCCGTCGTCAGGACGTCCCTCCGGCAGTGGACGCTTTCTCCGGGATGGCTCCGAGGCCTGGGACTCCGACTTGCCGTCGTCGTCCGCGGGTCGACCTTCGGGGAGTGGGCGTTTCTTCCGCGGAGGTGGCTCCGTTGGGGTGCCGCTCGACGGCGAGGGCTGAGAGACGTTGGAGGACGGGGTGGGCGCGGTGCTGATGGATCCAGCTGGTTCTCGGGTACGGGCATCGGGGGGCGCGGTGGATGGTGTTTGCTGTGTTGTTGGTGTAGGCGGATCGGGGTTGTCTGCCATGATACTCTGGACGGTCATGGAAATCCGACCCTCCGACGCGTTTGCTGACATGAGTGCGGTGCGGTATCCACTGAGTCAAGTCCGTCTTGTCCGGGGATGGATGACCGCGTCAGGTGTCGCACAGGTGTCAGTCCAACGGGGAGTGTCGGACGGCTTTCTTTCTCTCTCTCTTTTTCTCTCTTGTCGGTCCCTCACGCTTCCTCTCCCCACGCCGACAACTTGTGTGGGTCGAGAGTATCGTCACCAATGCTCTCCAGAAAAAGGGCGGCTTCCTTAGATGCGATTCATAGTTGCCGAGGCCTAGTGAGGAAGCGAAAACGAGGAGCAAGAAATTGGAAACGGGCGTGCGCGACGCGGTGCTACGTCGGGGGGGCAGAACTTTTGATGTGAAGCCAGCAGCGATGGGTTCGATTCGGAAAAGCAACAAAACGCCAGGGAGGCTAGGTTTGGTTTGGTGGTGGTGTGTGAATGGAGTGAAGGACTAACTAAAGAAGAGAGAGACTCCACCGCGGAAGCCACGGCGGGACAGCCACTCGGCAGCACAGCAGCAGCACCAGCACCAGCAAAAAGAGAAGATTTCTGTGCAGCAAAGCCACTTCTCGATTAGCCTTGGACCGATGTGGTAAAAGGGGGTGGAGGTGGCTGATGATCGGTTGAGTTGGATCGATTAGCTAATCGAGATCCAAGGATCCAAGGATGCGAGACGAGACGCGGCGCCGGAACTGGGGGGCTTCGGCTGGAGATCGCGGCCGAAAGACTTTCTGTGTGAGTGTGTGTGAGAGATATAGTGTGTGTTTGTCTCTTCTCTCTTTTCTTCTTTTTTCCTCTCTGTAGATACGAATAGGAGTGTATGTCGGGCATGTAATAGGTACAGAGTACAAGAGTACAGAAGTACAGACAAATACGTGAAAAGACGGGAAAAGAGTCAGGTCGCAGACTCGACTTGGCCCCCGTCCTAGGGGGAGACAGCTACTTTTACGCGGCAAAACGACCCCTTTCACCCGTCGCACATACACCTGGACCCCGGACAACCTACAGCAGAAGCTGCCCAACCCGCCGAGCAGCAGGAATAAAGCTCCCGTCCTGTCTCAACACGGCAAAGACGCAGCTCTCGGATCTAACCCTCTACCTGTGCATGCCCGCAACAACAACAAAAAGGCAGTGCGGGGTGTGTCTTGCTTCTCTACCTACATACTAGCTCTCGCTCTCTGCTCTGGCTCTGGCTCTAGCTCTGTCCCCTCTGGCTTGAACTCTGAACCTTGCTGCCCTACAGTGAGTCCGAGCACAGAGTTGGATTCCGACATCCTCCTCTCGCTTCACATGCCTCACATCCAGGTTGTGGCTTCTTCCGTACCGGCTGGGACCAATTGGATTTGTTTCCGGCCATCTGCGATCGACTTAGCCACGTGTGGAAGCTGCTTACCATCTGATTGTGTAAGTTCGTCTTGCAGCTTAGAAAACGCCCTGACATGTCTGGGCCTGGGCTGGGCCTCTGGGACACAATTAACAGTAGAACCCAAACAGGCAGAGAGAGACAAAGTGCCCGTTGTGTCGGTAGCGGCGTCCCGTGTGTCTCGGTATCATATCTCGGCTCGGTGTTTGACCACGGCTTTGCATATCTTCTGCCCGCCTGCGAAGGGGGAGGCACAATTATCCATGGATACCCACAAGAGTTGTGCAAGTCTCGGGTTCACTAACCGTAAACAACACAGGTCTTCCCGGCCCTTGAAAACCAAGCCCCTCACAGCAGCCAATGACAAATACCTCGGTATTGATTGCTGCTCTCTCTTGAACGTGCCACCGTGAGGACCGCGGCACGTAAATTAATTAGCTGTTAAATTCTCTCTCGACTGAAGCTCTGATCCCTGCTGCACATCGCTGCACAAAAAGACAAACCGGTAGCTGAAAAGAAAAAGTCCCGCAAAACCTTCATCAGGCATACCTACCGACACCTCACACACCACCACCACTCCACCATACACATACACGAGTCTGGCGGCGGCACATGAACCACCCCGCAGATCAACGCGCAAACTCACTGATGATGACTGATGCTCGCAATCCTGTCAAAACCTCAGAAAGGTCAAAACGCCGCCCGGATAGTAGATCTGCCCATCGGACGATCGGACGGACGGACCATCTCTCCTAAATCCGGGAATCCTTCGCAGTAGTGCCCGCTCTCCTCCGTGACATCCGCCCGGTCCCTGTCCGCTCGCCCCTCTAGCCACGGACGGCGGCTCAGAGAATTGCACCGCGTCGTTGCAACCGTTCGACCGTCTCCCCAGCTTTTGACCCGCTAAGAGCTCTGCCGCCTCAATCATCTCAATTCGTGGTGCCGCCTTCTCTGCCGTTGCTGTTCTCGGAAACTCTGTTCCTGGGTCCTGACGTCAATCTTGCGACATTTGGCACGGTCCAGTCGCCCAAATCTCCGACCTGCCAGATCGATATATATCAGACGGGGAACCCCATGACTCTACCTTGACTCGTCCAATAGTGCAATCCGGCAACGCTTTTCCATTTCATAGCATCATACAATAATTATCAGCCATGTCGCTCGAAGTTTTCCATCTGGGCCTTTCTCAATCCGAGAGGATTGTGTGGTTGTTGGAGGTGAGTAGTCCGATGAGCGGTCTGCGCGCATTGCGACCTTACCCAAACTAACCCCGCATAGGAGCTGCAAGTCCCCTACAAACTGAACATCTATGAGAGAGATCCCAAGTCTGGACTGGCGCCACAAGGCTTGAAGGATGTTGTAAGTCTCGCGAGCGTCAGGTGATGCTACACATCAATGATCATCGATTGACCCCGCGCAGAACCCCGCTGGCACCGCGCCCTACTTCCGCGACAGCACCGTCTCACCGCCAGTCGAAATCTCGGAATCGGGCGCCACAGTCGAATACATCCTGACTGTGCATGGCCAGCCCAAGATCGGCTCCGGCGCGCCCAGACTGAGCCGAACCCCCGACGACAAGGACTATGCGGCTTACCTCGAGTGGTTCCATTTCGCCAACGGCTCCCTCCAGGCTGCGATCGGTCGCGGCATGACCCTTCTGTTCGCTGGCGCATACGACACGCCCTTCGGACAGCGATGTGACCAGAAGATCCAAGCCAGCCTGAAGTTGATGGATGACCGGCTGGCGAACAACAAATGGCTGGCGGGCGAGAACCTTAGCGCTGCGGACATCATGACGGTCTTCAGTATTACAACCATGCGTGGTTTCTACCCTGTGCTGGACCTGTCTCCTTACAAGAACATTCTCAGATATCTGAAGGATGTTGCCGAGCGTCCTGCCTACCGCAAGGCTTTGGAGAAGGGTGACAAGGGCATGGAGCCGATGATTGGTCCCAAGGCCAAGCCTTTCATGCAATTCGAATCCTTCAGCGCATTCTTCAAGGACTTGCAATAGACTAGAGTCTTAGAACATACCAGCACTTACAACTACGTCAAGGACTCTCAACTCAATCTCACATCAAAACCAATTGAACATCCCACTTGATGGCGAAAAAAAAGGACTCGATACACCAGTGGAAGATTGTGTCGACATGCGCCTCGATGATCAAAAAGATATTCACTTGACCAGCCTGGGGGTCGAACCCAGAATCTCCTGATGTCACGATTAATCGTAGTCAGACGCCTTGCCATTGGGCCAACCGGCCGTGATGTGTGAATTGTGTCTCCACCGAGGTGGATGCTGACAGCCGGCCGCCGGAGCCGACTTGAGAACTCGGACCGCTCGTGCGCGGACGGCTTTGCGGACCTAAACTTAGGATGATTGTCTACGTTGAAACGTCTTACAGGATAAGATATCTTCCGCTTTCTTTGTAATAAGCAATCGAACAAGGCAAGTGCCGTTCAGGGCACGGTCAGGCGGTATCTGGTCTTTGAGTAAGGGCACAATCGAAGCTAACTACTAGGTAGATTTACTAGCGATCAAGTGCAAGCCACCGGGAGCGATGAGATTAACTAAAGAAACAAAGACACAGATCCCATTTTAGCCAACACCCAATGCTCACAGAGCATACTTGAAGAGCGGGCTCTTTTCTCCCATGCGATCAAGTTCCTCGTCGGAATGTCTTCGTCTGACTTCGTCTTCAGTCATGAGCTCTTTCTTCTTGTTCCTCCTATATAACAATGCCTCCAACGTGATAACCGCAATTATTCCTGCCGATGCGAATCCGAATGAAGTCCCATACCCGGTCGGATACCTCGGAGCCTCCTTGTCCATGTAGATATAGCTACCGATGAGGCCACCAATGTTGCCGACACAGACGAGAAAGCCGATGCTGATTGCTCGCTTGGTAGGACTCGGGGTGTTGGCGACGTTCCAGGCGTTGACTCCTGGAAGAATGGGGTACATTCTGAACGCATTGCTGTTAGTTCCTTCCTGCTTATACTTGATTTTTTTCATGTGCATGTGACGTACCCGAAGCACGCTAGGCAAATGGCAAAGTAGTTCAGAGCAATGTTGTCCTTAATGTCCTCGCTCTTAGTAAATAGGATGGTGAACGCAACAACCAGGAGCAATTGCGGGCCGAGGATGAACGGCATTCGCCAAGAATATTTGTCCGCAAAAACTGAAAACAGGTACGCGGATATAGCACCCACAGCATACGGCGGGATCGTCAACAGCTGGGCGTTGGCAGATGTGAAGCCCATGTTCTTGATAATCTGAGGCATCGTAAACTTGAGTGCGTAGTTTGGAACAGCCTAAACTTGAGAGTCAGTGAAGTCCAACAGCGGCGCTTGGGGTCTCCTGAGTCGTTGTACTGACGTTCGACCAGTTGGCCAAGATTAGGAGATAAATCTTCCAGTCCGTCAATACGGAGAGGAATGCGTGCTTATCGAAGTGATGGTCTCGGAATTCGTTTGGTCGCACAACCCGCCGGGCTTGTTGTCGTAGTTCGAGAAAGCGGATTTCTTCGGGGTCGAGCCATTTGGAGAGTGCAGGAGAATCCACAAGAAAGAAGAAACACATGACACCTATCAGGACCGTGGCCAACCCTTCGAGGATGAAGATCTTGTTTTGTCAGAGGATTTGTATAGTCTGAAAAGACGAAGCAAACTTACCCATCTCCAGCCCTCGTATCCGCCTACTCCATCCATTTTGGCGATTGCAAACGCCAAGAGACCTGAGAATGCCCCACCAGATGCGGCAGAGGTGTAAAGAATAGCGATTCGGGTTTGCGTCTCGTTGGGGAGGTACCATTTGGAGATGATCAGGATCGCACCGGGGAGGAAACCGGCTCTGGAATGTTTCGTCAGTGTTGATGGGATCTCATCGGTTCACGTTCACATACTCGAACAGACCGAGGAAAATCCTCACGGCAACCAAGCCCCCAAAATTTTGAACAACTCCATTGCAGGTCATGACGATACCCCAGCAAGTAACGATTCCGCCAATGTAGAGAGAAGGTCTCTTGAACATGTGCAGCACCATATTACTGGGGACTTCGGCCAAGACAAACGGTATGAAGAATACGGACAACGCGATGTTGTAATCGACTCCCGTCATATGGAGACTGTCAAGGAGGCCTTCGATCTTGGCATTTCCAATGTTGGTCTTATCCAAATAGGCCATAAGGTAGAGGAGGACAAGCATTGGAACTAGTCGAAACTAGGGATCCAATATTTTTCAGTCATAGGTAGACACATAGAGAGGAGAAGTCGGGTCGAGACTCACATCAACTTTGTGGACAGCCTTCTTCTTCCTTTCCTCCGGGAAATTGGCGAGGAAGTCTGCATCCTCAGGGCTCATGCCGCTGTTTTGTTGGAACTCGTTATGGGCAACGGAGTTCTTCTCTTGAGCAACATGCTCGATGTCGGAGCGGTCAGACGATGCCCGTACGGCCGTCATGTTGACGGCTTCAAAAGCAAAAGGAAGTGTTCAACGAGTAGAATATCCTCTAGGCAAGCTGAAGAGGATGGCCAAAACACCACCTTGTGTACGGCAGGAGGCAACTTGGCAAGAGTAAATGTTGAAGTGTGTCTTCTTTATAGCCAGAAGACTTCTCAACAACTTGTCTGGGGGAGATTTCCTGGGGAAAGGGGATTGGTCTGCCTAGAATGCTCCGAGCTGAGCTGGAGTTGCGGGGATAAACAAGGAGGAATCTGGGGAAATATTCTTGGCGCTGGCGTCCTCCGCACAAAAGGACTCGGAAAAAAAACCTGTTAGTCCCTCTAGCGTAAGACTACACGATTCGAGGAGACCCGGAGAACCGGAATACTCTCGTACTCGGAAACATATAGAACATGACAATCAGTTACAAGGAATTGAAGCCAATTCCTCAACAGTCGTATCATGCCAGGGATCCGTCCACTGTGAGCCACTTAGCTGGGTACCTTTTACCACTTGTTATTACAACAAGCTTCCGGGGTGCATCGACTATGACACAAGCGTTGCGTGGGGATGGGGTCACATTCCATCTTGTCCAGTCAAGAACGATCCGTTATCTCCCCGGGACCCGGTTAGGGCGCGAAAACCAGCCCAAGGTTTGCTGCAGGGCGTGGTGGCGCTGGATTTCCAGGTCACGAGTCGCTATTCCGAGTTATCTCGGACTTGGTGTCCGGACTCTTCCCGGAAAACTTGGCCCCCCGCCCCGGAGACGCGGGGAAGCGGGGGAGAATCAACCTACATGATCATGCTTTTCGGGTGGCACATCATTGCATGAAACTGCTAGAGGCGCTTCAAGTGTCGATAGACGCGACTTCGGCTTTTCGTGAAGCGCGAGGTTGTCACCGCGAGGGTTATCCTGAGAGGCTCTTTGCATTATAAAACAGACAAGATGTGACCGATATCAAGCTCGTCGTCTTATCTTCACTACAAGCAAATCGAGCCCATTCGACCTGAATCCAATCTTCATTGACTCCTCCTTCACAAAAGAAAACAGACCAAAATGGGTTCTCAGTCAGTTAGCCTTGAACTCCGCGGCCTTACCCCCGCCCCCATCACCCCTTTCACCAAGGATGGCAAGGTCGACTACGATGCCATTCAACGCCTTGGCTCCTGGCTCGGCAGCATTTCCGGCGTCAAGGGCTTGGTCGTTCTCGGTCATGCAGGCGAGGGCACTTTCCTGACGCAAGACGAGCAGGTCGCCGTCATCAAGGCCTTCGTCAAGTCCGTCGACAACCGCATCCCCATCATTGCCGGCATCACCGGCGAAGGTACCGAAGTCGCCGCTCTCGAGGCCAAGCGCGCCCGTGAAGCCGGTGCCGCGGCCGGCCTACTGTACCCTTCGCACGGCTGGCTGCGCTTCGGATACCAGCCGGGAGCCCCGCAGGACCGCTACAAGGTCGTCTACGAGGTCAGCGGGCTGCCCCTCATCCTCTTCCAGTACCCCGACAACACCAAGGCGACGTATAACCTCCAGACTCTCCTAGATATCTCGGCGCAGCCCGGCGTGTTTGCCATGAAGAACGGCGTGAGGAACATGAGACGCTGGGATACGGAGATCCCCGTCATCCGCAGGGAGCGGCCCGACCTGCAGGTACTCACTTGCCATGACGAGTACCTCCTCCACACGGTGTTCGATGTTGATGGCATGCTTGTCGGATACGGTAACATTGCGCCGGAGCAGCTCATTGAGATGATCAAGGCCGGCAAGGCAAAGGACTACCCCAAGGCCCGCGAGATCCACGACAGGTTGCTGCCCGTCACGAAGGCCGTGTACCACAGGGGATCGCACATGGAAGGTACCGTGGCGTTGAAGCATGCGCTTGTTGCGCGGGGTATTCTCGACCATGCAACTGTGAGGTCACCTCTTTTGCCTCTGGAAGACGGTGCGGAGACGCAAATTCATGCTGCTGTGTCGTCTGCAGCCCTGGCGCGGGTGAAGGGACTGTAGTAAACAGCGGTAATCAGAGACATGTCAACGGCTAGATATGTTGTGCGACTCGAATAGATGACACTACAACCACTTCTTAGATTAAATCCGATGTTTACGCGAGTGGATGCCTCATGCACCCTGCGAGAGTGAAGCTCACCTCCCTGTCCCGCGATGCCACGACGAGGAGAGAATGAAAAGCGATTTCCCTGTCTGCATGGTGACCAAAGACTAGTGCCTAGACAATTCAATGATTCGCCCTGACGAAGATCTAGATTCCTGGGGGCCAAGCCACCGACGGAGACGGTGTGCTCAGCCCGCTGTTAGCCTGCTGTTAGATCACTCGGGACTGAGACATCCTCCTTAGTTCTCTGCACATCATTTCCGTCGCTTCAACCCATCAAAGACGTCGTGCATGAGACCCGAACCCAGGAAGCCGGTAATGATGGTCATTGACACGCCACTTTTGCAGGTCCTCGTCGCAATCGCCAGAATCATGCATACCGAATGCATTTACCAGGCCTTGATTCCGTGCATCTAGCTTGAAGCCAAGTCTCGGGAAAGATCTAGTTGCATGCTCCAACAGTGCAGTCACAGCTCCAGTCGCGGGCTCTCGCCTCGGAAAATGAGTCGAGCCCACGAAGCCTCTTGTGGCGAAACACTAAGCCAGGAGCAGCTTGCATGGTGGCTGCCGATAGCACGAGAGGAGCACATGTTGGGGCTGCAGCGGGCGTCGCCAGTCCTTTAGCACGTTGAGTTTCTCCTTTGATGCCATTGAACACACGCAAGACAGGTCCGGCAGATCAGAACTTTTGCAGTCCACTACTTTAGAACAC